GCACTCTATTTTTTCAGCACAGAATGGGTAACGTTTACCACTTTCCTACATACACAAATACACTAAGAAAAGAACTCACCGCAAGACATGGGCTCATCCATTTTATTAGTACAGTCATAGCGAGCATCACATACTTTACTGTACGGAATACATTGGCGTGAATCTCCACATCGGTATTCGTCATCTTTACAGTTTTTTGTGGGTTCAGCTGCAATAACAGAAAACATACATGAACTGCTACTTATAATACTCAAAATAAAATTATTGAATCCACTTTCATGGTTGAGATTGTTGTCAACATCTTTCAATGACAGTTCAAAAAAAAACAAAAAACAAAACAATTTTGTGGGACATCAAGACATCATTTCCTCACTTTCCCTAGTTGTCACCTTGAGAGTGTGTGGATAGTTCAAGGGAAATTAACATTTCACAAGGTTCTACAAAATGTTTTAGTATGTACATGTAATGATAGTTGAAAATTCTGATCAAACCTCTTTAAAAACTAACCTACAAGCATCAAAAATAGCTACAATGTACAAAACCACGTCAAATAAACAAACCATGCAGACTACCTACAGGTAAATATCAGGCAAATAACATTGAAAAGCAAGAATTATAAAACATCAGGTTAATTAATCAACTTACGACAATCCCGTTCATCAGAGTTATCCAAACAGTCATTGTTTCCATTACACTTCAAATATAAATAGATACACTTTCCATTGGTGCAAGTAAAGTCATTGGGACCACAGGGGGTAAGATCTGTAAAGCAGGAAATGGAACACAATCAGAAGATAAAACATACAAGCTGACGCGACAGTAAAGAGGGTAAAACCCATACAGCTGAGCTTATCTCCAGTTTTTGTGGCACAAAGTGGCTAGGAGTATTTCTACTCCCCTCTTGATGGGACGCTAGTCCATTGCAGGGTTACCCTAAGCATTAAGTTTTCCAGTACACATTTATACACCTGGGTGGAGAGAGGCACTGTGGGAGTAAGTCTCTTGACTCCTCAAAGTGGTGACATAGGAAACAATATCAATATCACTTCGAGGCTTTCAATCATGTTATGCAAATAAGTCAGAGGGGAACAAAGTAATTATGTCTCATCTGCACTTCACTAAACTTGGCTACTACACAGCACAGTCCTTTATCTGGCATGAAGCCTTGGAATCTTTCACTCACAAAAAGAGTAAAAACAAAACTAGAACTGCTTCTCATTACACCTGAAGCACTCAACACTTACTGCATCCTCTCTCATCTGAGCCATCTTTGCAATCATTTTCTCCATCGCACTTCCAACTATGATGGATACAACCGCCATCGTCACATTGAAACTCAGCATGCTTACATCTGGTAACGCCATTCGAGCAGCCCATCTCATCAGAATTATCTTGGCAGTCATTGTCACCATCACAATGCCAGGCCTTCCTTATACACCGTCCATTATTACAGGTAAACTCTGTTGGGCTGCAAGTTTTGTTAGCTGCAAATGGGAGAGAGTAAAATAAGCTTCCAGAATTTCCTCAGTAATGGCACAGCAAAGCGCGTGGAATGAGAAAGAAAAGAAGATTGGCATGTTACTGTTCTGGTTTCTCAAACAAGTCAGGTAACTAAGACTTTTTCTTTGTCCAACGCATGCATGTATACATGCTTAGGACAACAAAATTTTCTAACTATGTAGCCAGTTTATAGACAGATGTACAAGCTGAAGGAAATTTTAAACATTCTGAAAAAGTGATTAACAGCTGTAACCTGTAACACCCGTTATAACTGCGCATGCTATATAAATTGGCGCTTAACGTTATGGGTGAACTTGCCAACAGTTGATAAAATTCACCCACAATGTAACAAGTTTGATCTGGGTGTAAAGATTCAGACAACAGGTGACTCAAAACTTTATGACAACCCAGATTTAGTCAATGAAAAGAAGTTTTATTGATGACCTTTAAGAAGAAAACTCTAAAAAGTACATTATTATAATAACTATTCGTGAGGAGGAGAAATTGGATCCCAGAACAAAACAGGAAAATAATGCTAGTTGATAGCAATCTTCATAAACAGTGCAATCCTGGTTTCTTGAATCCTTGATTCTCAAACTTCCTGATAACTCCAACCAAAAGTTGTTTTCCTACCCTCACTCCAATACTATATGCGCTCCCGATTTCTAGAACTACCCAATTTTTCAAACCAATATTTTCATTTCTCTTGGAAGTTCACAAAATTGGAATTCAACTGTACATGACTTGATTGCCATAAACCACTTGTGCATAAAAAATTAAACAGCTGTTGTTGGCCGTAAATGACAACTAAAGCGCACAAATAAATAAATAAATAAATAATAATAATAATAATAATAAAAAACACTTACGACAATGGGTTTCATCAGAGTTATCACCGCAGTCATTGTCAAAATCACAATGCCATGTGTGCGTGATACACTTGCCATTTGCGCAGGTAAACTCATTGGATTTACATGTCTTGTTACCTGAAGAAATTGTTCCTTTTTTTCAGAGAATAGTAGGGTAAAATAAAAGCAAAAACAAAACAACAAATTAATGAAAATTCCAACACCAGACACAGAGAGGACGTTTCCCTAATGTTTTAGTATTTATTACCATAATGTTAGGGGATTAATTTTTATTTAAACGGGTCAATATTTTACAGTATATTGCTGCGTCATTAAAATTAAATAATCAGTTTGGGGAAAAAAGTCACTTGTTTTCTTTTTATAACAATTTCAATTGTAATGCACAGAATACCTTATGGGGAATAATGTTTAAAGTTTACAAGGATGCCCTCTGAGCAAAAGTTCCCTAGCTATTGATTATTCTTGAATGTCATTAAGTGAAACTGCTTTAATCCTGTTTATTCAGAAGAGCAAAGGTTGGTAAACAATAATGGGCTGATATCTTAACTAAAATTCTGACACTGCTAACAAACACTGGGTTTAATTTCAAAATAACTGAACATAATAGTTATAATTATTATTTTTTAAAAAAACAATATTAACATGACAAACACAACAAAGATATTAAGTTAACTTTCAAGGAAAAGAATTACAAATCCATAAGCAACACTAGTTAATTTAAATGTCCAATACTACTTTATGGAAAATAAATCACTAAATACATGTACATGTAACGTCATTGAGAAATGAAAAATGCTGGTTAAATGATACATTTAATCCAATTATTTTACAGTTACATGTATTTATTGCACTGAGGAGGTTATTTTTTGCAATTTTTTTTCAGACTGATTAAATCTGAAATAAAAGCTGCTTTGACCGAATTTATGACATCAGTGGAAATATTTTAGCAAGAATTTTCAAACCAGAAAAATCAAGATTTGTGTTCCTATTTAAGCTCAAGTTTTAGATCATTCATTTAAAATTGTTCATTTTTGTCATCCTCCTCTCGTATGCCTGGTGAACAAGTCATTTCAACACCTTACCACATCCTTGTTCATCACTACCATCCTCACAATCCCTGTCACGATCACACAGCCATCGTTTTGGAACACACTGTCCATTGCCACATGCATGTTCATTGTCTGAACAAGTTCTTTGGGCTAGAAGGAAACAAATGTTAAGCATTATCACAGGTTTCATTAAAGGCCAGGTACCCCGCAAATTGACCACTGTAAGACTTACTTTGCCTGCCTGATTTGATCATCTGAACAAAAGTTATTTGTACATGTATAAAGAAGTTCAGTTCAAAACGTTTTGCCTGCCTGTGAATACCAGTTGCCTTCGTGCTGAACACATGAATGAAGTCGAAGACATGACAGACAAAATGGAGAGAACATGAAACAAGTCAATTTTTAAATCACACAGTGCAAACTTTAAGATGCATTGTGACTTGTGAAGCTTTTATATTAAGATCAACTTAACCAAGCCAAATTCTGAGACTTCCACAAATATTTTTAAAAGTACACATGACAAGACCCTTCTGTGATCACAATCAAAAACAAATTTACTAGACACTGTTTTCACATACCACAATTCGGGGGCTCATCAGAATTGTCACCACAATCATTGTCATAATCACAAACCCATCTAAGAGGAATGCAACGATCAACAGTTCTGCACTGGAAATTGCTCGAAAGATCACACTTTGTAACAGCTAAAAATGAAAGCAAACACACAGTTACACTTAAATTGCTTAACTTCCATTTCCATACCCACAGCATTGTCAAACGGCTACATGTAGGAGTTTGACACTCCCTTTGGACTGCTCATAAGTATCAATTCAACCTCCCTAACAGCTTCCCAATAGCAACTTGTATTACTGTGTGGAAAGCAACACTCTAAGAATATAGCCACCTGGTTCTAACATAAAACTGCCAGGATCTGACAAAACTGTTGTGCTGCAGAGGCGGGTACATGGAGCACTTGGCTAATGTTACCATCATCTCTGAGAACTTTGATAGGGGTAAGGTACAACAGTGGTAAACTTGAAAAGCTGACATTTGTACCATTAACCTTTTGACATCACTTTGTCCCTTGAAATGTCAACTTTTCAAAGTTGTTAAAGCACTTAATTCACCCACATCAACCCACTACAGGGTGTATGTGTGAGCGACAGTTGATTAAAGGATTTAATTTCTCAGAAAGTGAATGATGAGCACATCCCATTGGCCACTTCACACCAGAGAGGGGTAACTCAGCCAACTTGTCTAATTTGAACTGTTCTATTTGTACCTCCTATTTTCACACTAGACAAGACAGAAAACTTGTCCATGGTGAGTTACTGTTGTGCATGTAGTGTGAGACAAACCACTTGCCTGAGCCAGGTTATTCAAATAACATTACAAACTTGTGTAGTCTACCCCCTATAATTTCTTATAATGAAAAACAATTGAAGCAGGTATGCTTAATGCTGTGGAACCCAGTGAAACAACATATAGAAAAGTCTATTTTATGCACTGCCATATTTGCCATGTGCTCTCAGAGTTGAAAGTACTATTTGTGCCGCAGTTGACATTTAGAGGGTTCCTGTGGATTTTGGACTAAAAATGTTGCTGTTTCACCTAATGTCTTACTCCCTTACTCAGTGTGAGGCCTTCATACCCATTCCTTCAAAGACAATCAATGATGTAGTATCATTGCCACAGTACAGGTTTTATATAGAAATAAAAAAAAGCTGACCCTTATTTAGACCTCTCCCCGCTTTTCCGCAAAAAAAAAAAAGAAAGAAAAAAAAAGAAAGATGATGTGGACTAGGTTGAACAGAAAGGATAAACCTGAAAATGACTTTGTGGGCCACTCGGACAAGAAAATGGCAAATTTACATTTTAAATAGAGCATTCATATCGCCTTGCTACAAACAGTCTGGTCAAGTGACTGACATGTTGTCATTAAATTTGATGAACTTCTTGTTCCTGTCCGCTCCATAGGATAAAAATAGGACTATTTGAAATGGAAATTTGAAAATACAAGTGAAAACTAATGGTATACCAAGAGCAGGTTCCTAGAGTTACATTTGGCTAATGACAAAGCGACACAGAACAAAATTAAAGCACTCTTTTCCATTGTTTGCACTGACATTCTTTTCGTCTGGATCATTAAATGAATGAATGAATTAGAAAGTGTGTTGAAACGTGTCTAGCACACATTACAGAAAGTGGACAGATCTACGACAGAACAGGACCTTTGTACCTACCACCAGCGACTTTCACGTGCACATCACAAATTTATCCCCCGTAAAATAAATACGGTATTGGACAAGTCGCGGGCTATTCGACAGGTAATATAGTTACTGTACGGGACACATCAAACTAAAAGTATAAATGTCCATCAAGAAGATTGAAGCCTCGGAAAAGTTTCCAGCTTTAATTTATAAGTTTGTTAATGGAGACGAATTAAAAACGGAAAACGACGCCTCGAAAACGACTCCGATGTTACCACAACAACTGAATTTGAGCGCAAATATGGCGTGGGAACAAAGATGAGCGGAGACGAAACAGCGCACAAATTCGGTTTATGAAATAAGCGAGGGCAGCGGGGCTTTGTGTTACGTTCGCACATTTGGCGTGAGAACAAAAAATCCCATTGGGCAAAGAAAAAATTAAACAAGTTGGTTCAACTGTTTACGAATGCTTTTCATTCTCTCAACCAATCGTGTTATGTTCCGNGAATCTTTCACACACAAAAAGAGTAAAAACAAAACTAGAACTGCTTCTCATTACACCTGAAGCACTCAACACTTACTGCATCCTCTCTCATCTGAGCCATCTTTGCAATCATTTTCTCCATCGCACTTCCAACTATGATGGATACAACCGCCATCGTCACATTGAAACTCAGCATGCTTACATCTGGTAACGCCATTCGAGCAGCCCATCTCATCAGAATTATCTTGGCAGTCATTGTCACCATCACAATGCCAGGCCTTCCTTATACACCGTCCATTATTACAGGTAAACTCTGTTGGGCTGCAAGTTTTGTTAGCTGCAAATGGGAGAGAGTAAAATAAGCTTCCAGAATTTCCTCAGTAATGGCACAGCAAAGCGCGTGGAATGAGAAAGAAAAGAAGATTGGCATGTTACTGTTCTGGTTTCTCAAACAAGTCAGGTAACTAAGACTTTTTCTTTGTCCAACGCATGCATGTATACATGCTTAGGACAACAAAATTTTCTAACTATGTAGCCAGTTTATAGACAGATGTACAAGCTGAAGGAAATTTTAAACATTCTGAAAAAGTGATTAACAGCTGTAACCTGTAACACCCGTTATAACTGCGCATGCTATATAAATTGGCCCTTAACGTTATGGGTGAACTTGCCAACAGTTGATAAAATTCACCCACAATGTAACAAGTTTGATCTGGGTGTAAAGATTCAGACAACAGGTGACTCAAAACTTTATGACAACCCAGATTTAGTCAATGAAAAGAAGTTTTATTGATGACCTTTAAGAAGAAAACTCTAAAAAGTACATTATTATAATAACTATTCGTGAGGAGGAGAAATTGGATCCCAGAACAAAACAGGAAAATAATGCTAGTTGATAGCAATCTTCATAAACAGTGCAATCCTGGTTTCTTGAATCCTTGATTCTCAAACTTCCTGATAACTCCAACCAAAAGTTGTTTTCCTACCCTCACTCCAATACTATATGCGCTCCCGATTTCTAGAACTACCCAATTTTTCAAACCAATATTTTCATTTCTCTTGGAAGTTCACAAAATTGGAATTCAACTGTACATGACTTGATTGCCATAAACCACTTGTGCATAAAAAATTAAACAGCTGTTGTTGGCCGTAAATGACAACTAAAGCGCACAAATAAATAAATAAATAAATAATAATAATAATAATAATAAAAAACACTTACGACAATGGGTTTCATCAGAGTTATCACCGCAGTCATTGTCAAAATCACAATGCCATGTGTGCGTGATACACTTGCCATTTGCGCAGGTAAACTCATTGGATTTACACGTCTTGTTACCTGAAGAAATTGTTCCTTTTTTTCAGAGAATAGTAGGGTAAAATAAAAGCAAAAACAAAACAACAAATTAATGAAAATTCCAACACCAGACACAGAGAGGACGTTTCCCTAATGTTTTAGTATTTATTACCATAATGTTAGGGGATTAATTTTTATTTAAACGGGTCAATATTTTACAGTATATTGCTGCGTCATTAAAATTAAATAATCAGTTTGGGGAAAAAAGTCACTTGTTTTCTTTTTATAACAATTTCAATTGTAATGCACAGAATACCTTATGGGGAATAATGTTTAAAGTTTACAAGGATGCCCTCTGAGCAAAAGTTCCCTAGCTATTGATTATTCTTGAATGTCATTAAGTGAAACTGCTTTAATCCTGTTTATTCAGAAGAGCAAAGGTTGGTAAACAATAATGGGCTGATATCTTAACTAAAATTCTGACACTGCTAACAAACACTGGGTTTAATTTCAAAATAACTGAACATAATAGTTATAATTATTATTTTTTAAAAAAACAATATTAACATGACAAACACAACAAAGATATTAAGTTAACTTTCAAGGAAAAGAATTACAAATCCATAAGCAACACTAGTTAATTTAAATGTCCAATACTACTTTATGGAAAATAAATCACTAAATACATGTACATGTAACGTCATTGAGAAATGAAAAATGCTGGTTAAATGATACATTTAATCCAATTATTTTACAGTTACATGTATTTATTGCACTGAGGAGGTTATTTTTTGCAATTTTTTTTCAGACTGATTAAATCTGAAATAAAAGCTGCTTTGACCGAATTTATGACATCAGTGGAAATATTTTAGCAAGAATTTTCAAACCAGAAAAATCAAGATTTGTGTTCCTATTTAAGCTCAAGTTTTAGATCATTCATTTAAAATTGTTCATTTTTGTCATCCTCCTCTCGTATGCCTGGTGAACAAGTCATTTCAACACCTTACCACATCCTTGTTCATCACTACCATCCTCACAATCCCTGTCACGATCACACAGCCATCGTTTTGGAACACACTGTCCATTGCCACATGCATGTTCATTGTCTGAACAAGTTCTTTGGGCTAGAAGGAAACAAATGTTAAGCATTATCACAGGTTTCATTAAAGGCCAGGTACCCCGCAAATTGACCACTGTAAGACTTACTTTGCCTGCCTGATTTGATCATCTGAACAAAAGTTATTTGTACATGTATAAAGAAGTTCAGTTCAAAACGTTTTGCCTGCCTGTGAATACCAGTTGCCTTCGTGCTGAACACATGAATGAAGTCGAAGACATGACAGACAAAATGGAGAGAACATGAAACAAGTCAATTTTTAAATCACACAGTGCAAACTTTAAGATGCATTGTGACTTGTGAAGCTTTTATATTAAGATCAACTTAACCAAGCCAAATTCTGAGACTTCCACAAATATTTTTAAAAGTACACATGACAAGACCCTTCTGTGATCACAATCAAAAACAAATTTACTAGACACTGTTTTCACATACCACAATTCGGGGGCTCATCAGAATTGTCACCACAATCATTGTCATAATCACAAACCCATCTAAGAGGAATGCAACGATCAACAGTTCTGCACTGGAAATTGCTCGAAAGATCACACTTTGTAACAGCTAAAAATGAAAGCAAACACACAGTTACACTTAAATTGCTTAACTTCCATTTCCATA